TATGCTCAGCCTTCCTTTCATTTTTTTTTTTTACCTTGAGATAGGGGTCTCACTAATTTGTTCAAGATTGCTTTAACCTTGCTTTACAGATAGACCACAAGAGTCTTGAGTTTGTGATCCTCCTGCCTCAGGCTCCCAAGTATCAGGTTTACAGGCCTGTGCCTCCAAGCCCAGCTGTTCTTGTGGTTTTATTAATATTCCTGCTGGGGGCATCCATCCCTGAATCAACTGTTCTTGCATTAGAATCCCACCACAGCCCCTCACACACAGGATTCTCATTATAAGTTACACAGAGAAAGAAATGGCAAGCTCAGATCAGCAGGGCTCTGGGGATCTCAGAGCCCAGGCTAGCCCACACTGCAAATCTCTATAAACTCATTTTCTTTAGCAGAAAGCTGGGGAACTCGGCACACACTCCCTACCCTGCCCCCACTCCCACCCCCATGCATACCTGTTGGCATTGAAGGTAGCATCCCCAACACACCAGCTGTAAAGTCTTCTCTCTGGGCTCTCCTGAAAGGCTACATAGCACCCTAGAAAGACACTGCTGCTCCACCCCAGGGCCACTGAGGCAGTAGTAAAAAGCCCACCAAAGACTCTATATGGGGTGACAGCTATGAAAAAGGCAAGGCTGGGGAAGAACCCAAGACCACTGTTGAGAGGTGGAGAACCTAGAAGGTGGCTTGCTGCTCACTCCTGGACCTTAAACCAGCTCTTGTATCCACAAGGAAGAAGAGCCTTGGAAATGAGGGGAACCAGCAAAGGCTACCCTTCCCTGTTTTGGGTTTTGCCGGCTCTGGAGGGAAGGCTTTATCTCAGGTCAGGTGGGGTGGGCTCTTAGTCCTTGCCACAGGGCTCTTGATGCAGCCTGTGTGTCTCTTTCCTACTCAACCCTCAAGGAATTTACATGGGGTGTTCTGAAGCTAGCTGCAGGTAGGATGGTCCTCCAAAGAAAGCGATGCACGCTGCAAATGAGCCAAGGTTGCGAGTGAGCCAAGCTGAGGCATGTCTACCATCATGGCCCACGTGCCTCAGGAAGGATTACAGGTGAAACTGATTGTCAGGGGAGGAGAGGAGTGAGCGGGTATTTCTGCAGAGGCGGAAGCTCTAGTAGGAGCAAAGGGTCCTTCCTGCCCAGGGACACCAGGGTAAGAGCACCAGGCTCCACCTCTTACTGTTTCAAGTAGAGGGGAGAAGCTGTGGCAGCAGTGATGCCCTCAGAGCCAGCCAAACCTGAGCTCCTCTCACTCACTCAAGTGTCCATAAAAGCAAACCACTGCAGATCAAGAGCTGCCTAGAGCTGCCACGGGGCAGGTGTTTCTTTTGAAGCCACAGGAGTGGTGGTCCCCCTACCCAGTCACTAGATGTGTCCCAGGCAGCCTTGGTCATAATACCCTTTTTGAGTGGGGGCTTCCTCTCTCCCTGGCCTTCTCTGCTGCAGACCTCTTAGTCCTTGCCACCCTCCCAGCATGAGAGCAGAAAAGAACATTCTCCAAGGAAACTGGCTCTTCAAGGGCTTGTGTTCAGGGTGAAGTCTCGACTCCTGGCTTAGTAAATAAATCCATGGCTTATTAATTCCCCTCTAGTATGTGAATGCAGCAGTTTCCACAGGTGACCTCACTCAAGGGTCCTCACTCACTGTGGGAGTGTGCAGTTTGGAAGCGCCAGGACCCACTTCCCGGGTGCCTCCCAGTCTCCAGCTCAATGTCTCAGCCAGGCTCTCTGTGATAGGACATCCCAAAGGCCAGCCCCAGAGCCTCAGCTATGGCTCCCGCTTTGCAGGCTGCAAAGATTGGGCTGAAGCCCCAGGCACTGCTCCAAGCTCCAAACCTGATTTCCCACTCCCTCTTTGAGCAAAGCCCTGGAATGGTTCACTTTCAGTCATATTCACTAAGGTTCTAAATGAAGAAACCACAGTCACAGAATCAAGAGGAGTAAGAAAAGGTAATTAGCTAACCAAAGACTGCTCAAACTACTACCAGAGTTTAGGAGTGGGTGTGGCTCAGAGGAGGCTGGAGCCAAGTGGAGCATTCCCATAGCCTCAGGCTTGGTTCCCCAGCACAGCAGCTATTTTAGACTTGTCCATTAAAGCTGAGAACCATCCGATGCTTCACATGGGCTTCTTGGAGTCTGTGCAGACATGTCAGCAGTGCCTCTACCCCCTTCATCCCTTCAATTGCCCATTTCTATCAGAAGGTAAAAAGCCAAAAATAACTACAAGGAACACAAAGTCAAGTTGCAAGGTCTGCAAAAACCTCCAGGAGACAGACAGACCATTGAAGTCTATCTTGTCCTAGGGCAACCTGTGTATCCTACCCCTGTACAGCCCTGGGCAGCCCAAAAGCCATCCAGGTGAGTCTGTCTATACAGGTGTATCACTGTCACCTTTGACTAGTCACATGACCACCAAGTATCAACAATCAAGTCTGGGGGCTTAAGAAATAAATGCTTCGGAGGTTAAAAGTGTTTTCTGCCCTTCCAGAGGACCCAAGTTCAATGC